GAATTTTATTCCTAAAAGAGCTTAGCGAGTCAGGCACATGCGTATGTAAGAAAGAAACCTATAAAAAGCATGTTAGTTATACTACGCAAATAAAATAAATACAACAATCACAATAAAAACCATGGAAAAGAGTGTCCAGAGTCCATGGCAAGTTCCATACAATATACAAATTAGAGTATAAAAAAGTAGTGGTGGCCGGGCTCCACTGACAACAACCCAGGTTCTACTCCTAAGGAATGAAGCAAATTTTAAAATAAGGCATTTTTTAATCTTTAATCTTGTTCCTTGCTTCCTTGATTCGTCTATGGATCATGTCTTCCTTCCTTCAAGTTCTTGTAGGGTGTCCTCCAAAAGGATATCCAAATGAAAAAGAAAATTTTCTATAAGAGATTTCCTTTTCCTTTTGGGCCTCTCTACATTTAAAATGCTGTGTTTTAAATTTTCACAACACTAACCATCAAATATATTACATCATAAAAATAAAAATCTAGACTCTCATACAGGGTTATCCTAAGTAGTTATAATCAAAATTGTTCAAGCAATTATATATATGAAATAAAATTGCTCCAATCAATCACACTTGACCATGCTCTAATTATTTGGGGTCTAAGCAGCTGAAGCACTTGAAGCAATTATATATTTTTTATTATTAATTTTAGCCCCCTTTAGCACTGTGTGAGTACAACCATCTGCAAGAAAACATCTTCAGCATAAAGAGCATTCCTAACCTATAAATATTGTATCGCTCACAACAAAGTGCATAAAGAAAAAGCTAGAAATCATCACAGAAAACTAAAAAAGTAGCAAAATAAATAGCACACGGGTCACATGCAAAGCGCCACATCATAGAGACAGAAAGAAAAAAAAACACGGCCTAACCTACAACTAGAAGTCGTGTCCTAGCAAATAAGTCTATATGTATGTATTAGGTCATATAGTTTTTGGTATGTCCTATATAAGTTGATTTAATTATAGTTGCTTGCATTTGATTTGTTAAAGGGCAAACGAGATTTTAGTTGAAGTTTAAATATTAATATTTTATGATTGATTTTAAAGATTTCTATTTTAGTATTTGATTGATTATCACCTTTGTTTCATACCAAGGCCGTGAGGTTTATTTCACCCTCCTTGGGGCTAACTTAATAGCCTCATAGATCTGGGTTACCCATTGGCAACCAATTTTGTTGAATTATTTTTAGTTGGTTATAAATTAGAAAAAGAAAAGTGAATAAAGCAGTTTATTAATCAAGTTTGTTAATTGATTTTAAAGATTAATCTAAGGTTTGACCTTTAGGAGTCTTTTATCCTAATGAATTTTGGTTTTATGTTTGATCTCCTAATTTTAGTCTACCTCTTTTAAACTTTAAATTAGTTAAGAGTTGATTATTAAATTAGTTAAGTTTTATTTGGATTTATGTTTTAAGTTTATAATTTAATGATTATATATATTAATTATAATTTAATAAAGAGTTAAGTATTTTTAATACATTTTAGAAGTTAGATTATGATTGATTAGTTGATTATTAATGGATTAAGGAAAATTAAACATAGAAAAATGTGTCGCTAGATTTTTGTTTTGATGTCTCTATCCTATAAGGAGCATGCATCCTAAGTCTATGTTATTTAAGACTCAGTCCTTAATTTTTGTCCTTATGTGTCACTAAAGTTGTGGGACTAAATAGAATTTTTTTCTAATCCTTTGAACTTTCGTACATGTGAAGGGATTTGGAGATCTAAAATAAAAAAAATCAATCCTAATTATAAAATAAAGTTTCTATAGAGTGCTAAAGGTTAGGGAGCGTACAACAATTGGGGACTCTAAAGGTTTTCCAAGTTTAAGGAAACTTACAGCACCGGGGGCTATGACCTGGTGGTTCCGCCCGTAGCGCCCCCACTAGACTGAATGGGGGCGACTGATGCTCGGATCCGACTGTCCATGCTCCTTCATTAAGTGCCCAAGTGCTCCTTCTCCTTTGCTCTCCAAAGATCACCTCGCAAGACACATAAAAGATGAGTATTAAAGCAACTTCTACATGATAAGAAAATAATAATACAAAGAAATGAAAATGCAATAAAAAATAAGAACGTACCTTTTTGTATACCGGTTGAGCCATTTATCTTTTAGATTTTCCTCATTTTGCAAATATTAAAACTTATATCATAAATAAAGGAGCTGAAGAAAGACTAAAAGCAAAGTAAGAGACGACTAAATGCAATAGAAAGAAAAAAAATGAAAATCAAAAGTAAAAGGAATGTAAGCATTGTTATTGTTGGACATACTTCTTTGAGGCAAGTGTGCCTCTAAAATAATCTTCTCCCCAATTCAATGTGATACGAATAGGGGAGAAGGTGTTTTTAATGCCTTTTGATGTCCCCACATTCCAATCAAAGCACTTAATACATTTAACACGACTAACTAAGCTATTATCTAACTAAAGCTCAAAGTGACAAATGGGAATAAGTTCTCAAAACCAAAACTCAAAATAAACCTTCATTCTACATCTATCCAAAACCTCACTTTGAGAAGCAAACATTAGTAAAAGAAAGCAAATTCAATTAAGAAAGATCATTCGTTCCCAAAAGACATCAAAGAGAACTTGCTACACAAAACTCACCACAAAGCTCCAAATTCCAAAATTTACTTAAGAAACCTCCAAATGAAACAATACATAAAAGCTTTAATAAGCAATCTACCAAAACATCTTTTGACACAAAGAAAATAATCAAGTGCTCTTTTTATTTGGTGTGGGGTAGGACCATAAAGCCTTCCAACAAGAAAGTTTTATAAAACCTCTCATTGTAAAGCATTCATGAAACTCATAGCATAAAGCACTTTAATACAAAACAAATATAAAGCCAATGATAAATCATCTCAACATAAGCAAGTCAAGACATTTTCCAACCAAAAGCTAGTCCTCAAGTTTGCAATGCAAGGTAAATCATGAAACCTCTCAACAAAAACAAAAAGAACTATTTCCTAAAGCTCTCTAATCATAAAGAAACTCGTGAGACTATCCAAAACACTTCAAATGACATTAATTAACAATGGTGAACATACAACTACAATATCCCACGCAAATATAGATGAAAACATGGCTCCACTTTATGAGAAAATGCTTGAAACTTACTTCAACCATTTGCATTAAATATCACTACAGGAAAACAGCTCATTTCCGGCGAAATTTCAGGCGGAATTAAATTCGTCACATATTCCGACGGATTTTCTAGCGAATTTCCAGTTCCAGTGAAAAAATTTTCAAACTGAATTTTCGACATTATTTTTTTGACTGTGTTTCCGACGGATTTTTTTTTCGAAAGAGAAATTTCCGATAGAAATTTTCGGCAGCTTTCCGAGAAAATTAAAAAAATAAGTTTTAAATTTAATAACTTATTGTCAATAAAATTATTTCCAATTAAATATTTTAATTTTAAAAAAATAACTTTAAATTTATTTAATTTAATAACTTAAATTATAAATAAATAATTTAAATTTATCTTTATTATTTAAATAACAAAAATTAAAATGAATTTAAATTAAAGCTTTTAAAATTATAATTACAATTTATAATTATATTTATTTTATTAAATAAGTTAAATAATTTAATAATTATTGTTAAATGAAATTAACTTAATTATTTATTGTTAAATTAAATTATATTTCTCTTATCTTTAAAAAAAATTTACTTTAAAAATAATTATTACTTTTAATATGTTGTAGTTACAGTTATATGTTAAATAAAATAAATTATCTTCTTGTTACAGTTTTTAAATGATGGCTAATTGGTAGATGGCGGATGCAGGAGTCTTCGAGGGGGGCGGGGTTCGAACCCGGCAGAAGGCAGGAGACCACGCGGGCCTGTTGGGCGGGCTGGATTGTCCACGTGGGCGCTGCCGGGCTCGCTGACCACTGTGCGGGCCGGCTTAGCAGCTTGGGTTGAGCGTAAATTCGAGCCCCTGGTAGGTCGGGGCTTAGAATTTGTGATTAATTTTTTTAAAATTTTTTATTGAACTTCCGATGCAAAAAAAGTCCGTCGAAAATTTTTTTCTTGCGAAAAATCCGCCGGAAAACTTTCTGGCGAATTATTATGCGTCGGAAGGCCTTTTTAGAAGCGCATTAAACCGGCGAAAATATTTCCGCCGGAAATGCTAATTTTCGACGGATTTTGGCCAATTTTCCTGCGAAAATGTTCGCCGAAAAATGACGTTTTTCCTGTAGTGTATAAAGAGACACTATCATGCTTAAAAGACTCCAAACACTCTTCGTTAGTGACCAAATCCATAAAATTTAATGTAAAGATCTTTACCCAAAAACAACAAGAAAGGAACCTCATCACAACACAAAGCTATATGAAGTTCATTAAATACCTTAAAATAGGAGAAAATATATGATATTGAACTATTGCATTTCAAACCAACTTGCCAAACTGTAGACATAACCTTTTAAATTTGCATTGCTTAACACAATCTACCCTGTTGACTTAAAAAAAAATGAATGAAATGAAACAGATGAAAATTTGGAAACAACTGACATACCAGCGTCTGTTGGCCCCACCTCGCCGAACGACACACTCTTTCTTTTCGGTAACTACCATTCGATAAAAGAAACCAATAAAAGGAATGAAAGAGTTCGGAAAGAACGGACACACGCTTGTTTGCCTCGCTCCTTCGACTCCGACATCGTCGTTCGACTTCGTTGCTTGACAGAGGCGTCTAGGGTTCACCTTTCATCTTCTCTTTAGGTAGTTGTTGCTCGGCTTTGTTTCTTCACAGGAAGCGAAGAGATTGCATGCGCTCTCCTTCGGCTTCATTGTCGCTGTTCGACTTCAGTTCGCAAAGGCCGCCCGCACTGACCCACCTCTAACCGCCTGCGCTCGCCGGTCCGACCCCAGGCCG